TCTCTAAGGTCCCTTCCAACCCAAACCGTGCCATGGTTCTGTGAATATTGTGAGGTTCCTAGCAATTAAAAGTCTCTGATATTGAGGAGGCAAATCCACTTTGTATATGTGGAGTCAAGACATTCTTTTGGAGGATGCTGGCAGGAAAGGTCACCTATTGCCCTGATTTCAATGTGTCTTGTGAGCACCTCAAGTGATGCTTCTGACTTATTCATTGCAACAGTAGGGTTTTCTTAGGATGTATACTGAGCTGAAAATGACAATAGAAGGTAATCACTGTGGGATTCCTTTTGATGCTTAATTAAGTTTGTTAACTGAAATATAAAGACCTTTAATCTTAAAATAGGGTTTGTCTAGAATTTTTTTCTGTAATGGATCTTAAATCCAGTTGCAGGAATGAGAAGTAATTTGATTCTTCTGACTGGTTGTTTTTCTTAAACCAAAAGAATCTGAATGTGGTTATTTTGTAATTCCCTCCTACACTTGTAGGTGTGCGTTAAGATATCAGCATGGTAAACTGAGTGAATCTATAATGTAAGAAACTCCATCTGTGTAAACTCTACCTTTCAGTCTCTTTGATAGTATACTTAGAACTCAAGAAAGACTAGATGCGTTTAAAAAATAGATTAAAAGAATGGTTCAAGTCAGAAATTACTTAAATTATATGAGGGACAGTAGCAGGCCTACTCTTTTAGCAGGAGCTGCTTCCCAAACTCCTCTAGGTTTTATTTGATTGTTCCCTTTTTACTTCTTTCCATCTCCCAAGTTTAAATGCTTTAAACTGCCTCATGGTTTCTGGACCGTTAGGGATGATCAAAACATAATTTGCGTACATGGTGTCTGTTTTAATAGCAGTTTTAGATCTTCTAAGATATGCAGAGATCCTATAGTTGGATCTGTAGTCTATTGGACACTAAATTGTAAATAAACCTTCTGCTCAGATATGATCTTAACCTGTGCGGTGGATAAGACTGTTGTCCTGTCTACTGACATTCTAGTCACTCCCTCGAGCTAAAGGCATTCATTAAATCCACAGTCATACTAAGTATTAAAATACTGAAATCGGACAGTAAAGACAGTCTCTCTGAGGGTATAAACTGCTCCTGGACTAAAAGATGCTTTCTGCGTCTTGAGATCTGAAATGCTGACACAGCTCATTTTCTGACAGGGCAGCCACATATCTCTACTTTTGTGAAATTAAATCTTAAATTGGAGTAGATCTTGGCCCTGAGAGGAACCTTTTTTTTATGCCTGGCAGCTATCTAACCTGAGAGATCTTGCTTCTGTCACAGATCTATGAACGGAATGTGTTGTATTGATTTACTGATGTTTGAATTCTGTTCAGGTAGAGTGGGATAAAGATCTTGCGATTTATAACTGTTCTTTTTGTATAAAAGTAAAAATTAGTTTAGGTTCCCGATCAGGTTTTTTTTGAGGTACAACTCAGCTGCTCCTCTGGCTTAGCTGTTAAGATTGTGGGAAATTGGTCAAGCAGGCATTACTGTAAAGATTGGTTTTGATACCTAGGTGTTCGTTGCTTTCCCATGCTTTTTCTGTTAGTTTTCCAACTACTTCCACTGATTGTACTCCCAAGTAGTGGTTCAGTTCCTTTTCAGGACAGGACCTAAAGCCCGTTGAACAAGGCATAGGTAGTAACTGTGGACATACAACTCAAGGACAAGCATTCCTTTTGGTAGCTTTTCAACAAGTCAGTCCATTTCTGTTGTAACTTCCAAGTTTTATGAGGATCCATTTGATATATCTCTGGTGCAGAGCTTTGGTCTTAATGGATTTGACCACTAAAATTTTGGCTTCTGGCATTCCACCTTTCCATTCTAACTCCACAGCAGCGAATATGAAAACTGATGGTTGAAACTAGCAAATTTTTTAGTAGTTATGAAATGTCTGCTTTTATTTAAAAGTCAATGGGTTGGAATTGTATCAGAGATGAGAAGCTGTTGGGTGCAGTTTAGCAGAAAGTCTGCTTCTGTAATGGTTATTTTTAAAATACTAACCAGAGTCATATGTCCTGTCTTAATCTCCCATTGCTTCTGGAACATGACAGCGTAGGCATTTGTTCTGATGGCACTGTGATGACCATTGCAAGCTATCGCAGATAACATAATGATCAAGTTGACTGATGGCTGGCAATATTTGTGCTGAGCTTGAGAACATTTTATTAGAACAGCTCGTGAAAAGTAGATGCTTCATGGACATAGCAGAATTATCTGAAGTAAGTTCTAATAGTTATTCATAACAGACAAAGGAGAATGGGGAGAGGTTATCAAATATGTTGAATGCTGTAAGTTTCAAACAAACTTTGTCTCTTGCTTCTCTCATTCTGCAACGTAGGGTATTGAAGCCCCCAGGAGGAGGTTCTAGTAATCTCTTTGGGAGTACAGAAGTTTCTTCTTCAAGCAGGCCACACAGGATGGCTTCTAATATCTTTGGAGCACCAGAAGAACCTCAAAACATTCCAAAAAGAACAAACCCTCCAGGTAAGAGCAGCCACCTCCTTCAGCCTGACTGGACTCTGAATTGCAGCACAGAACTGGTTGCATATTCCTGAAGTGGAACACTGTGATCTGTCTGTCTTTCTGTGTTGCGTTTTTACAAATTGAGTGGCTTGAACAGTAAATCTATTCAGAGTTCTGAACATATGAATATTTCAGATACATGTTCACAGACTTTTTAGCACATCATCCAAGTCTAATTCTTTCTGAGTTGAGGTCTAGGAAGTGATGAAAGGAAACTGCTTCTGTTCTAGAGCTGTGTCATCAGTTAGCTGCAGCGAGTACAGCTGTGAATCTGTGATCCTCTAGTGAATTCTTGTAACAAAGGATTTCAACTAGTATCTTCAGGCAAGCAAAAGTAAGTCTCCAGGCAGTAGGGTTCTAGAAATATTTGAAATTTTTTTTTTTTATATATATAATGTGATAAAAATATGTAATCTAGAAAAAAAAAAAATCTAACAACTGCCTTGCAGGGGGAAAAGAAAGTGGTATTTTTGAGGAGTCTAGTTCTGCTCAGCCTCGTCTACGCATGAATCCACCTGGTGGGAAGACAAGTGATATCTTTGGGTCTCCTGTATCTCCCAGTGTTGTGCGAGCACACCCAAACAAGCCTAAGGTATTTGTACTTCTATCGCTGTCAAACCAAGAAGCTATCAACGCAGTGAGTCATCTTACAGTCTTGTCACAATGCGATTCCTGGATTCTTTTTAAGATGACGCACCTGAATTATGCATAGGGTCACCTCAAATTAGATGGTTATTCCCGAAGTCTCTTTTTGGTAGCTTGTTACTTTTGCTATATCAGATCTCGGCAAACTCTGTAGCTTGCAGTAAAACTATTAATTAGACTGCAGATGTGTGTTAAAGAAGAGAAAAAAATGTTTCCAAAGCCTTTGGTCCTGTTTGTAAGTGAGGGACAGCTGGAGCTCTTGGCACATAGCCAAGAGGCATTTAACCTATACAGGGAGAAGATACTTCTCTTTATTTTGCAGTTTGGCAGAAGCGATCTTGATGCCAACTCTGCAAAGTCAGTGAACACCAGTGAGCTACAGTCATAAATCTGCATGTGGCCTGGCTGTGCTCTTTACCAGCCTTAAATATGTGTCTGTGTTGAACATGAAAGCGCTTTAGCAGGAGACTAAGTTTATGTGATCGACAGTGAAGAAGCTAACTCAAAATCAACTCTGAGTGTCAGGTCCAGCATGATTTTGTGGTGTCAGACAAAAATGTGTCTTGCTGTATCAGGTGTTAATTTGTGATCTTAAAGCTGGGATGTGGAGTAGTTGGGGAGGCTTGTACTTATGACCAAATCTGGTTTTGGAAAAAAGGAGGATGCATTGCCAATTACTTTATTTCTGTATTCAAATGCCCTATATTCAGATTTACAACCTGTTGCCTTACTCTTCAAGTAGATACTATTAAGTGAGTAGCTACTATGTTGGCAATGTTTTTGACATGTCAGACAGCGTGGGAACTTAACATCCCAAGACACACAGCTCACTGTCTTTGTGCTGAAAAACTAGTAGCAGTTTCATTTTTCCTGGAACTTTAGGAAAAAAAGATTAGACTGATTTTTTTTTTTTCCTCATTTTTTCACCATAAATTTGAAAGTACTGGTAGTGTGCTTTTGCTTAACTTTTTATGCAGACTCTGGAGTGTATTTTGCAGGATTTGGGTCATAAGAAAGCAAGAAAAAAAAAGACTGGGAGCTAGGTTTTGTCAGGAGTAATGCTCATGGTGTAGGAAAGGGCTTTGTTTTGTTTCTCTGTACCCCTTTAGGGGGCTGGTCTACGATTCTTGTTAGTTGCTTTTTAAAAAATGTAAGGTATTATTTCCTGACTAAGTGGAGGACAACACTTAAATTCTTATGTATTTAATTAGAGCATTGGAATGGTGGGAAGTACTGGGATGGCAAGGAGATAGCGTATTTGCAAAAATTACTGCAAGCTGAATTTCTTGGGTGGGAAAACATGTAAGCTTTTAGCAAGTATTGCTGTGTATTTCTGGCAGTCAATTGGGATTGTTGGGGAAAGGGTCTTAAAAGGTTTTTTTAATTACCTGACTGTTTGGGTCACTATGGCTACTCACTGAAGACACTAATTGCTGAATAAAAATAGGGTGCTCAAGGGCTGCTTGTGTTATAGCTGTGAATCTTTACATCTCCTGGAGGGTAGTGGGTGCTTGTCAGGAATGGTAATTCCAGACCTTTGGACTGAACTGTTTATCAAAGTTTTAAGCTTCTAATGAACTACTGTAACATCTTCATCCATATGTCCGTGAATTACCTGAGATACATACCTTGACGTAACATGGGAGTTATCTTCTGCCTCTGTTTTTGGGAGTATGTAGCGGTGGAGTGAATGAAGGGCTGCACACAGTGTCTGCAGCTGTTGGCTTTTACGGTGATAAATGTAAAAATTTAGATCAGAAACAAAGCAGAACTTTCTGAAGGATTTTGTGACAGTTACTGTTTGAGATCGATAATAACACTAAGATAGTTTTTGGTTTCTTTGCAGGATCACATTGTCTTGAAAGAAGATGAAACCCCAAAGAAGCTAGAAGGTCAGCAAGATAAATTCCTTTCTCTGTTCTCTTTAAGATAAGCTCTGAGGAATAGTTTCTTATGGTTCCTCTTAAAAACATAAGACTAAGGCTGGTGTTTAGGATAATATAACTGAGAAGTTTTCCTTCTGTTAGTCAGAGGTTTAATCACCTGTCTCAGGGACATGGTTCTCTCATCTTATTAAGCAGAACACCCAGGCATACTCTTGATACTATGTGTGTGTATATACTTGGCTTGTTACCATGTGTGTATATTTAGTTATATAAGGAATCTGTATATATAGAAAAACATCCTATCAGATTGCTTCTTCCGCCCTTGACATCTCTTTCAAGTGTGTAATGTTGGCCTGCTGTAGTTGTAAATAACTGACTGACAAAATGTATTATTGCTCAGCTAGTTATTGTTAAAAGAATGACCAGAACGCTGCTCAGTATGAAAGAATTCATTGGTATGTTGCATCTCTGAATTGCCTGAAACTGACAACGTAATTCTGAGGGTATATCGCTTAGCCTACGTATCCTTGTTAGAAGGATTGCTGAAGGAAGAGAGGAATTGTTATGAAAAGTGAAATTCTTCCTCAGCACCTGTTTCCTTCAGCAAAAAATGAACAGATATAGAGAAACCTTAGTGTGCTATGGATGGGAGGCATGGGAAATAATGCAGCCTACAGAAGATGAGGCACTTTGTGCACTACAAAATAGCAAGCTGATCTAATAACTTTTCTTTTTGTTCAACTACAGAAAATATCAAACCACAGCTGGAAGATGGAGGTGAGAAAAAAGATCCGGGCAAAGAGGAGCGATGCAAGGAGCCAGAACCCAAGATAGACAATCACGAGCCCCGATTAGGGCCAAGGCCACGCTCGCACAACAAAGTTCTCAATCCACCGGGGGGGAAATCCAGTATTGCATTCTATTAGGGTCGCCTGTTCACTTTCACTAACGGAGTCCGCACAGAAACTCTTGTCTGTGGTTGCGAGGTCAGTTTATAGACTATTGTTTGTGGATAGATTCTTGGGCAGATGGATGAGGGTTATGCTAAAGCACGTAGGCAGGAAAACCTGATGATTTGGGGAGGCAGGGCTGGGGAGGGAAAGGGTGCCCTGTGGAAGATGTGAGTATTGGACTGCCTGGGTGGATGGCAGAGGGGGACATTAGTGTAACTTTGTGAAAGATCAGTGCTACTTTGTGGTGAGTTTATCAGACTGTTAGGTTCTTTGCTAGCTAGTGGCTCAGGACACTCCTGTGGAGTCAGGCTTATCCATGCAGTTAACACATAGGGCATTGCGAATGGGTAGGGACCTGGAGGTCACATCTGAACGATTCTGAAGCACAGTGGGTAGGCTGTGCTCTTCTCTAGGCAAGAGGAAGCAGCTTCACAGTGCGTTGACTTGCAGTCGCTTCAATGTAAATATGTTCCACTGGAACAAGCAGTGCTACTGTGGTTTTGAGCGTCTTCAGTCTTCGGTTCTCTTTTTCTGTGTTCTTACTTCGCAGCACGTGATTGTTGATACAAGGACGAAACATGCTGAAAGTTTCTTTTATACTCACAGACCCTCATATATTAATAAATAAATGCTCTTTCTCTCCCCAGAGTAATCAGGCCTTTCTGATGCCTTCAGTAATCTGCTGATTACTATGACTAGCTGTTGACAAGTGACAATATCAGTCCAACATACTGTTTCATGTAGGTGCTTCTAGAAGGCTTTTATTTAGTTGAGTGCTTGCACACTTTGTGGTAAAGATGTGTCTGCAAATGATATCTTTATGGCAGTCTTTGAACAGAAACAACTTAGTGTGCCGTTACCATGGAGAATTACTGAGGTATCCAGCCAGCTAGCTTTGACCCAACCTGTACAGAAATGCCTTAGTTCCTGCAAAGGTTTTCACTTTGTACCCTGAGGAAACCAGGAATGTTCTACTGTTCACCAGAGTGCATTTGTTTGTTTGTCTGTGCTGACTCTGTTAGTGAATTCTCTTGTCTTTGGTCAGCCTTACATTTGCCTTTGACTGCCTCAGTTTTCTCTTGATGAGGTTGGGAGGACTACACAGATTCTCCCCAAACCACGGTTGTAGTTGTTTTGAGACATGCTGTTGACTATTCTAGTTGGAGAATCAAAGACTTTAGTAATACAAACCTTTTGGTTGTGCTGGCTATCTTAAATCATGTTTGGAAGATGTGCATGTTTTGCACAAACATTTGTTGGGGAGGGTAGCTCCCTTCATTCATTCTCTGAATGGACTTTCTGATCAGATCCAGAGCTTTGATATATGAATGTTAACATTAGGTGCTTACTGTTCACTGTTTTTAGTAGTGACTTTTTAAATTTGACATATCAAAACAGGAGTTATTCAGGTACACCAAAGAACAAGTGGCCTTATCTGCGTATATCCGCTGCTGTTCTAGCCCAGATTCCCTGGGAACTGCTACTGTTCAGAGGGGACTGTCTCTGGGCCAGGTGCTAAAACTCTGTGATTATAGTGCTTACTAGACTGCTCAGCTCGGTTGGTGTCACAAGTGGTGGATGAGTGCATGAAGTCTTAGTTGCCTTTTCAAATAGGGAAAGTGAAATATATGGGGAAGTGCTAAGGGCAGAAGTAGCCATGGAAAGTAGGGGTTTCAATGCCTTTGTAGCTTTCACATAGGTTTGGAGCTCCCTGTTATTTGGCCCCCTAGGGAAACAAGGCAGTGATTCTAACTGCAACCTTGTAATGCATTTATGTTCCTTCCAAACATGTATTTCCTATCAGCCATCCTCGAGCCTGTGCTGTCTAGCCTCTGGCTGAGTCTCAAATGCATCTGTCTGTCTCAGTTCTTTGTTCCAGTACTTGACAGGGTTTTTAAGAGACTGCTGTGTGGAAAAGTTAACCAGAGGCTGCTTTCTGCATTGAAGAGCCTGGTGTAATTGATGCTGTCTGTAATACTGAGCTTAGACCTGGCGTCTGTGAGTACCTGCTGTGCATTGGCTACAGTGCCTGTCTTTTAAACAGCAACTTCCAACCAGGCCTTAAGTTAGTTAAACTGTGTTCATTTTCTTCCATTGCTTTCTTTGGAATCTAACCCATGTTTTCAACTCATCACATAAGATTGATAAGAGCATTTCTGTGGGACAGGAGGGGATTGGAAATCAAATGATAAATCATTCAATTGTCAATAAACCTCTGTATTTTGTTACTTCATTTTGTGCTGTAGATGTCTGCTTTTATAAATTAATCGGTTATCTAGTTCAATGTAGATACACGCGTGAATTTTGTTATCTGAAATTGGAAAAATTGCACAAATCTTTTCAGGCCTTCGGCAGTGGGGACTACACTTTGGAGATGTGACGTCCTGCTCAAGGCTGCTCATGAGAGGGGAGTGTGAAGGGATGGTAGCAAGGGTGGGCTGTTCAGGTCAATACCTTTTTGTGGGCAACATTCCTTCCTGTTCTGTACAATGCAGGGATGTCGTTATGCTCTTCAGCAATATTGTAAATAGACTTAAATATTCAAATACTTTAAATATTTAAGTCTATTCGTGCAATAGTGTGGTAATTCCCCTTGATCAGGGGATGATCTTTATGTGGAGAAGTCATACCCCCACTTCTACACTTCTGGTGAGTGCATAAAACTCTCCTCGTGTGCCAAACTTGTGCCAAACTGACTAGGCTGACAGTGTGGAGGTAGCTACAGCAACAGAAATTCCAGTTCTGGGTGAGCTGGCCTCTCAAGCCAGGGTGTTCTAGATCTGCGTTCGTCTCTTGATTTACAGATTGCGATGCCCTACAGAGCCTCTCAGCCAGCACTTGTTTCTACTGTGAGTTCTGCATTTTGCCTTGAGAGTTTTGCCATTTATAGTTAAGAACTCTTCTCTCCAGCATGCATAATGCCCTGGGTAGGATCTGCTTAGGGTGGGAACCTGTGAATATCCTTGATAGATAACACATTAGCAACAGGATTGTCCTTCCTTTGAGCTGCTGTCAACTACTAGACTACAATATAGTTTCACTTTGCAACTTTACCTCATTGCTTTGCCCCTAACTTGAAGGTTTGTAGCTTAAACACTTAGGATAGAATATTATCCATGTTACTGCTTCGGTCTTGGAAGGAGAGCGATGGTGTCTGTTTACAGTAAACTTATCTTGGAAAGTGGCACAGGGTGACTCGCATGCTTTCATGAGTCATGTGTACAGCTCTGGGTGTAGCTGCTGCTCAGTTCTGAACTGTGTCACCGTGCCCGTCCTGTGCCAGACAGCATTGTTGTGATGAACAGCCCCCTGGGCACTGTTAATGAGGAATATTAATGTCCTCTCTGACAGAGTTCTAAGCAGCATTACTGTGGGTTTTTTTGAAGGATTTTTGAGGTTAATCAGACTTGGAATATCTAAAGTACATTCTTAAGGCTTGTTTAGTGACAGAATGCATGTAAAGTAGTGTTGTGTGGAGACAATTATTTAAGCACTAAATGAGTAACTGTTGTGGTATGTTCCCTGAAAAATTCTCGCAGTTGCTTACATGTAATATGATCACACTGGTGCACAGACATCGTAGTATCTTGGCTACCTGTGCGATCATGTGGTGGAGAACAGTTTGATGCTTGCCTGCAACACGGGGAGTATCCTCAGATGTCAGCTTGCATCTTCATAGTTGGGAAGCCAGCTGACCACTCAGCATTTTGCTCAAGCCCTGTGATGTGTCTTCTACTGAATTTCAGCGTGAAGCTCTGCTGAAATCCTGTATTGCTTCCCTTTGGAAAAGGCGATGGTTTGGAATATTGTTGAGGCTGGAGTCTTCCATTGTTTATTTTTCTTGAGGAATAAAGTAGGGTCACAGCCAGGATGCTGTGCTGTGCTAGACTAGAGGAGGCAAAAGGATCCTGACCTCTGTGAGCGCAAGCTATCTCTGGTGACAGAGGGCAGGATTATAGAGACTTTGGCACACGATAAGCCGTTTATGTCATCACTTGTTATCACCTGTCCAAGAAGTAGACTGGGTAATGATTTATTGCTAGCCAAGAACTGGGGCACACAACCTCCACAAACAGCCAGCAGACTAAGCCAGGTGAACAGCCCTCCCTCTGAAAACAGTCAATGAGCAGAAAGAGCAGTTTTTAATTTTTGTGCTAAATTTGCAGCCCTGATTATTTTTATTGTTTTATCTTGTTTCTGGGGATGAACATCATAATCTCTTGAATCTGGCTTTCCCTTTCTTTCAAGCTGCAACCCCTTATATTGTTAACAGGACCTCCTCTTCCTCAAGCAGGTCAAAATTCTGTCCATAACCAGCAAGAATGCAGTAATTTGCTGTACCCATCAGCCTCTCTACCTCCAGCCAACTTCTAATTCTTCTTACCCTACCACTTTCTTCCTCCCTCCCACATATACAAATATTTTCAATAGTAGCTATGCTGCCTTTGGCTTCTCAGTTATCCTTCCCATGCTGCTGTTGGGTGTAAGCTATATGCCACTTAAGCCAAAGCCACCAACAGCTCTGTGTCAAAGGCTATTAGAAGCAAAGAGGTCTCTCAGAAGTAACCAGGAACTTCATGTTGTGCCAGTTTCTTCGTCATGATTATGGCTTTTCCTCCACTGCCACCTCTCACACTTACATAAACACATGCTCCACTGGGTAGAAGTGTTTAATGTTCTGGCTTCTGGGAGCATGCTCAGCAAAAAACATCTACCTTGGTGTGAGTTGCCTGAACTAACGTCCGTTTTCAAGTTTCACAGTTTGTATTTTAAGAGTTGCAATCTACTGTGTAAGAATACTGCTGAAAAGAGTTCACCACTTCAGGGCTGGCCAAGGCTGGGGGGGTTCAGTTGCCTGATCAGTGCAACAGTACAACAATGAAACAAAGCCAGTGGATTGTTTCTTTCCTTTTCTTGCAGCATGTTGACCTCTGTCAATGCCACCCTTTCATTTGTATGACAAGCAATGACTC